AGCAGGAAGAGGGCACAGAATGGGGTGGGTGCAGCACCCGGGGCACCGCGCCCAGAGGAGTGCACAGCCTTGGGGGGGTCCCAGCCTTATAGGAGCGTCCCGGTGCTACTGGGAGGGGGGAGGCACAGTCAGGGTAGGGATCCCGGCCCTGGGAAGGGGTCCCGGCCCTGTGGGGGTGTCCCAACTCTGGGGTGGGGTTTGGGTCCCAGCCCGAGGAGAGGGGGGTCCCATGTCTGTAGAGAATCCCAGCCCATGGAGGGGGGTCACAGCTCCAGGGGTGTTCCAACCCTGACCCGGGTCCCAGGCATGGGGGGCTCCACCCCAGGGAGTGTCCCAGCCCCGCGGGGGGGTCCCGGCTCACCGTCGCGGGACATGCCGACCAGCAGGCACTTCTTGAAGCGGCACTGCTGGCAGCGGTTGCGGTTGATGCGGACGATGGAGCAGTTCTCATTCTTCAGGCACTTCTTGTACTGGATGTTCTGCTGGATGCTGCGGCGGAAGAACCCCTGCGGGGCGCCGGGGGGTCACTGGAGGTCTCCTCCTCCCCCACCTCCTCCCCCCACGCCCCCAGCCCGTACCTTGCAGCCCTCGCAGGCGTGCACACCGTAGTGGAAGCCAGAGGCGACGTCACCGCAGACCTTGCAGAGCAGCACCATGCCGTTCAGCTCTGGGGGGGCACCGGGGGGTGAGCGCAGCGCGGGGCCGGGGGGGCGTTCCACCCCATCGCCCCCTCCCATCCCACTCACTGGTGACATTGGTGCCGTTCTTATTAGGCGAACCGCGGCGTCGCTCATCCGCTGCCACCGCCACTGCGCCGGGGAATGCGGCCGAGGGGCCGTAGGGTGAGGAGGAGGAGGAGGAGGAGGATGAGGAGGAAGGCGAGCCGTCATCGCGGGGGGGCAGCGGGCCGCCCCCGTAGGGCCGGGAGTCCTGCAGGGAGCCGGTGGGCGACGGGGGGAAGTAGAGGGGGACGGGCTGAGGGCCGCCGGCGGAGCCTTCGCTGCAGAGCGGGACTGGGCTGGCGCGGGGGGGGGACCCCACGGAGCCCACGTAGCTGATGACACCGCCTGCGGGAAAGGCACGGAGAGGATCAGAACGGGTGGGGGGGCCGCGGGGAGCGCCCCGGAAGGGCCGTACCCAGAGCTGCACGTGTGCCACGGAGCGGGGTCAGCGGGGCGGGTGGCACATGGGGGTGCGTCCCACGTGCCGTGGGGACACGCGGCCCGGAAACGGGAGTGGGAGGGTGTGGGGAGGGAATGGAGAGATGGGAATCCCGGGACGGGAAAACCCACGGAGGAAATACGGGACGGGAACGGCGAGATGGGAACCCCGGGCTGTGGGGTGGGGGGGCAGCGCCAGCACCGTGCGGGAGGAGGAGAGAGGAGGGGAATCCCCATAAGGGCACGGAGCCCCCACCCGCTGCACGGCCCGGCCCCGCGTGGGGTCACGGCCCCGCGTTCCCCCCCCCCCCC